TTTGGGGAGAACTGATAGGAGTCACAAAAATGGAGTATGCGGCTTGTAAGCTGAACTATGCCTTCACTTTTAAGGACATTAATATTCAGTAGTAGTGTTGGGAGAAAACAGAAAGAAAATAATTAATTCTCCTAGGAGTGGAAAATTATTACACTGTTGAGGGTATATTTGACTGCTATGGTACCTGTAGAATACAAGCCATGCAATTTTTTAAAAATGGTAGAAGGGTTATTGAAAATAAATTTTTTTTTGGTCCTGATAAAAGCACCTGTATCCCATCTAGACTGCCTCTGTGTCTTGCAAGTGCTAGAGATACGCCTGGTTGAGACCTATTGTTCTACCTGATAGCCCTTCAAATATTTGAGGATAGCAAACATAACGCCGTAAGTAATCACATTTACCAATGTTTAACCAGAGTTTAAAACATCAAACAGGAGATTTTCATGGCAATGGAATAGTTGCCACAGTGATTTAATATGCAAAGGCTGCAGTGACACACACTGTGTCTTGCACTAGGGAATTGTCTTGGTAGGAAAAATCCCTGTAGGGCAACAGTATCGGTTGATGACTCACGGCTTTTACCCAAACCTACGATAATCCCATAAGTATGCCTAGTATAACTGTCCGGTTTCCTAAACCCTGAAAATCGAGACTCGCTTGGTTTGTTTGTTTTCTCCTGGCCACCTCCAGTTTTGAGGATGCTCTGCTTATCGTAGCTTTCAAGACGAAACCCAACTCCTCTTCAACATAGGCAGGATGTCACTGAGCAGAGGCTGAAGCGTGACTGTTCCTGCCAGCTGTGACCCATCCCCAAACTAAATCCATTTATCCGTGAAGCTGTGGACAGGATCAGTGCACATGCATACCACTGGGTGAAAGGAGCATAGCTAGGTGGGAAGCCATCTGCTGTGCTAAGGTCCTATGCTCAGTCCATGACATCTCTAATTAAAACGGGTGTGGGTAGGCATGATTACTGGTAAATAATCTGACATGCAATACCAGGTTGAGGATTAGTGGCTTCATACACAGGTACACATTCATGCAAGGTTAGATAGGCATCAGAATTAGACCATTGGCCATAATGAAACAGCAGTCCTGGATCAGGTTTGGTAGGACAGAAAGGGTGCATCTACATTGTAGAAATATTCCACTTTGATGCCACTTTGACTTCATCCGACAGAATCTTGAGATTTGTAATTTTTGTGTGGCGCCATCGTGTTTGGTAGAGAAAACGTAACACTACAAACTTCAGGATTCCATAGGCTGGAGCCATAATACTTAAAATGGTGTCAAACTGCATTATTTCTACAGTCTAGATGCATCCAGTATTAAACCATCTCTCCCCCCCTACACATACAAAACACACACACAAGTGATTCTAATCGAGATTGATGTTTCTCCACAACTACATTTGAAAATCATCTTGGTTACAAAGGGAGATGGATGAGGTACCAAGGCCATCACTAGCACACAGAATGTGGCCAAGGGTCCACCAAGTGCATATTGTCTATGTGCAACCAGGAGACCATCTCATCTAGCACAATATTGGAGGGTCACACTTGCCTTGCACCACCATTTTCTAAATATGGAGTTGTGAGGAAGTGGCCAATTGGACCTCTTCCAGAAGCTTCCAGAGTGGACCTGGACCTGTTTGAGATCCATAGAGCCTTTTTTTTCAAAGCTAGAACTGACCATAAGGAGTAGGAGCAGCACAGTCCTTTGGATCTGTACGTGGACCACGTTGTGCCAATAGTAGGATAAAAGGCACTTGAATTGGGTGATGAGAAAGACTGTTACCTAACGCACAGGAGAGATACTTGGGTGGCCATGTCTACTACTGTAGAGTGGGCAGTCCTCCTTTTGAAGGGCTGTCATGAAATAGTCCTACATTTGATTGTATCTTA